TCCCTGGGGGGCTGCGATCTGCGAAACTGTCGCCGCTTTCGAGGGCTGCTGGTGGGTCCTGCAGAGTGAGGCACCGCGCAGATCTGAGCGATACCTCGCCGTCCCTGGGGGGGCTGCGATCTGCGAAACTGTCGCCACTTTCGAAGGCTGCTGGTGGGTCCTGCGGAGTGAGGCACAGCGCAGATCTGAGCGAGACCTCGCCGTCCCTGGGGGGCTGCGATCTGCGAAACTGTCGCCACTTTCGAAGGCTGCTGGTGGGTCCTGCGGAGTGAGGCACCGCGCACATCTGAGCGGGACCTCGCTGTCCCTGGGGGGTTGCGATCTGCGAAACTGTCGCCTCTTTCGAAGGCTGCTGGTGGGTCCTGCGGAGTGAGGCACCGCGCAGATCTGAGCGAGACCTCGCCGTCCCTGGGGGGCTGCGATCTGCGAAACTGTCGCCTCTTTCGAGGGCTGCTAGTGGGTCCTGCGGAGTGAGGCACCGCGCAGATCTGAGCGGGACCTCGCCGTCCCTGGGGGGCTGCGATCTGCGAAACGGTCGCCACGTTCGAAGACTGCTGGTGGGTCCTGCGGAGTGAGGCACCGCGCAAATCTGAGCGAGACCTCGCCGTCCCTGGGGGGCTGCGATCTGCGAAACTGTCGCCACTTTCGAGGGCTGCTGGTGGGTCCAGCGGAGTGAGGCACCGCGCAGCTCTGAGCGGGACTTCGCCGTCCTTTGGGGGCTGCGATCTGCGAGACCGTCGCAACTTTCGAGGGGTGCTTTGGGGGCCAGCATGGCGATCTGCGGAACTGTCGCCACCTTCGAAGACTGCTGGCGGGTCCAGCGGAGTGAGGCACTGCGCAAATCTGAGCGGGACCTCGCCGTCCCCGGGGGGCTGCGATCTGCGAAACTGTCGCCACTTTCGAGGGCTGCTGGCAATGGCAATGGGCTTTCGAGGGCTGCTGGCAACGGTGCTGGGAGCCAGGGGATTTGCCACATTTCTGAAATTCGGTGCCACCCCTCACGCAGATCCGCGGGGTCAGGGTCCAAAAACATATGGGATTTCTGCTATTTCCGAACTTATGCAACTTCAAGAATCCACAACTCCGTTCCCAGCGCCGTTCCGGAGGCCGCGGCACCTCGTTATTTATCGAGCGAACGCGTTTACCTTGTTTTTTATCGTTTAAAGTCGATGCCGGAACATGATGGACCCACGAACCCGGAAAGGGATAAAGACATGTGCAGCATGGTCACGTTTTCACGATACCCAACTGGGCGACATCTCACGAAACATCCCACGAGACACCCCGCGAAACATCCCACGAGACACCTCACGAAACATTCCACGAGACACCTCACGAAACATTCCACGAGACACCCAGTGAAACATTCCACGAGACACCCCACGAACAGGCAACCACTCAACCAGACACGCCACGAAACATTCCACGGGGGTGCGACTGGGTGTGGTCGTGCTGGGGTGTGGTCGTGCTGGGGTGTGGTCGTGCTGGGGAGTGGTCGTGCTGGGATGTGGTCGTGCTGGGGGTTGGTCGTGCTGGGGGGTGGTCGTGCTGGGGGGGTGGTCGTGCTGGGGGGTGGGTCGTGCTGGGGCGTGGTGTCGTGCTGGGGTTGGTCGTGCTGGGGCGTGGTGTGCTGGGGCGTGTGGTCGTGCTGTAGGGGAGGTCGTGTGCTGGGGTTTGTGGTCGTGCTGGGGTGTGGTCTTTGCTTGTGTTAGGTGTCGTGCTGGGGTCGGGGTCGGCGTGCTGGGGTCGGGTCGTGCTGGGGTGTGGTCGTGCTGGGGTATGGTCGTGCTGGGGTGGGGTCGTGCTGGGGTGGGGTCGTGCTGGGGTCTGGTCGTGCTGGGGTGTGGTCGTGCTGGGGTATGGTCGTGCTAGGGTGGGGTCGTGCATTTCGCTCGAGACATCCTGCCAAAATTCCAGGAAATCGTACAAAAACAAACGAATTAGTCGAGACATCATCGAAATTCCTTCGCGCGGGGCGCTTTTCCGCGTCGCGGTCGGCTCTGCAAAACAAGCGTTTCGCTCGAGACATCCTCGGCAAACTCTGCGGAGCAAGCGTTTCGCTCGAGACATCCTCAACACACGAAAAAGTGGCCCGCACCCTGTGATTTATCGATCGGGATTTCAAAAACAAGCGTTTCGCTCGAGACATCCTCAAATTTTAATCCGCCGGCCTCCTTCGACCTCGATATTTATCAGGGAAAAAATCCGCCGGCCTCCTTCAAGTTGGCACCGGGGGATTAGGTTTACAAACTAAAAGAGAACCCTGGGCCGGCGCCCTTTCCGGGAAAAAAAAATGACTTCACCTGTGAAATATCAAGGTTTCCTTAAAGGCAGTAAAATTCCAAGAGCGCGATCTGCGTGAGAGGTAGCGAAAAATGGCCTTCGTCCTCACAATTGAAACCTGACCGGACAAGAACGGGAAGCGCCGTTTTTTATCCACCACGTGCGTCAGAGACCGTATTGGCGAGAACGTCCGAGAAACCCATAAACGCAACAGAACAGACTAAATGATGGCCTGCCGCGCTGGTCTGTCGAGGTAGTCTGCTGCCCTGGCCACATCATGGTGTCGACACCGTGCTTTTCTCTCGGCCACGCGGGCCCCCACCCGTTGTCTCGCCCAGCCTACTTTTTCTGTTCCAGCCTGTCTTGTCTTTTGTTTGCCCGTCGACATCGCGTTTATCAAAAGTAAGCGTTTGGCTCGAGGCATCCTCCCAAAGTGGGTCTGCCGTGCTCCTGTGGTCTGCCGTGCTTCTGTGTGTTCTGCTGTGCTCTTGTGGGGTCTACCGTGCTCCTGTGTGGTCTGCCGTGCTTCTGTGGCGTCTGCGGTGCTCCTGTGGTCTGCCGTGCTCCTTCTTGGTTTGCCGTGCTCCTGTGTGGTCTGCCGTGCTCCTGTGCGGTCTTCCGTGCTCCTGTGGTCTGCCGTGCTCCTTTGGGGTCTGCCGTGCTCCTGTGGAGTTTGCCGTGCGAACGTGTGGTCTGCCGTGCTCCTGTGTGGTCTGGCGTGCTCCTGTATGGTCTGCCGTGCTCTTGTGTGGTTTGCCGTGCTCCTGTGTGGTCTGCCGTGCTCCCGTGGGGTCTGCCGTGTCCTGTGTGGTCTGCCGTGCTCCTGTGTGGTCTGCCGTGCTCCTGTGTGGTCTGCCGTGCTCCTTCTTGGTCTGCCGTGCTCATGTGGGGTCTGCCGTGCTCCTGTGCGGTCTGCCGTGCGAACGTGTGGACTGCCGTGCTCATTTGGGGTCTGCCTTGCTCCTTTGTGGTTTGCCGCGCTCCTGTGTGGTCTGCCGTGCTCCTGTGTGGTCAGCCGTGCTCCTGAGGCGTCTACGGTGCTCTTTTGGGGTCTGCCGTACTCATTTGGGGTCTGCCGTGCTCCTGTGGTCGGCCGTGCTCATTTGGGGTCTGCCGCGCGCCTGTGAGATCTGCCGTGCTCCTGTTGGGGAAACGCCAGCGGCGTTCGGGGTACAACAAAAAGGCGCGTTTATGTTGTACCCGCGCGCGGTCTGCCGTGCTCCTGTGGGTTCCGCCGTGCTCCTGTGGCGTCTGCCGTGCTCCTGTGGCGTCTGCCGGGCTCCTGTGTGGTCTGCCGTGCTCCTTTGTGGTCTGCCGTGCTCCTGTGGAGTCTGCCGTGCTCCTGTGTGGTCTGCCGTGCTCTTGTGGTCTGCCGTGCTCATTTGGGATTTGCCGTGCTCATGTGGGGTCTGCCGTACTCCTGTGTGGTCTGCCGTGCTCCGGTGGTCTGCCGTGCTCCTTTGGGGTCTGCCTTGCTACTGTGGGGTCTGCCGTGCTCCTGCGTGGTCTGCCGTGCTCCTGTGAGCTGTGAGCTGCGGGGCCTATGAAGGCAAAAGGAGCCCGAGGCCCACGGAGCCCGTTGGCCCCAGGGCCTCAAGGGCCAACCCTAGGGGCTCCGAAGGAGCCACCGCAGGGGAGGGCGCGAAGCGCCAGACGCGCGAAGCGCAAGAAATCAAAGAAACCAAAAACAAAGGTGCAGGAAACGGGAAACACACACGCATTGCGACAGCCGAACATGCATGCCCACCTGCCTCACTCACGATGTCCTGCATCCAGCAGGCTCCGCATGCGAAAGAAGGCCTTACACATCAGATCAACAGAACAATGCCGCCTCACAATCACAACAATGTGCAGGGAACGGGAAACACACACGCATGGCAACAGCCGAACATGCATGCCCACCTGCCTGACTCACGATGTCCTGCCTCAAGCAGGCTCCACAAGCATGAGAAGGCCTTACACATCAGAACCACAGAACAATGCCGCCTCACGATCACTTCAATCCACCAAAAGCGTTGAGGCGCACGGGCAAAGAATAACGCCTGACACAACATTACGAGAGCACCCGACAGTGCGGTCCAGCGCGCATCCCAATTCCCGCAGCCACAAAAACATCACAAAGGCAGGACAATTCCAAAGGAGAGAACGACAGCGCTGCCAAGGCCGAACACCAGCAATCACTCATCCACGGAAATGGTCTGCCTGAGCGGCGGCAGCCCAGCCCGAGCCTCGGCTAGGTCAAGCAGCGCGCCAACCGCAGCGTAAGGCCCCCAGGCCACCGCTTCCATGGTGCCGAGGTCGACGGGGTCGAGGAAGAGGGAGTACGCTTCGCCCACGCCTGCAGCAGGCGCGGCGGAGCCACCGCTTCCACCCCCCCGCAGGAGGGCACCATCGTACCGGTCCAGGAAGTCCAAGACGGCCGCGCTGGGCGCCGAGGCGGCGCCGGGGAGAGAGAGGGAGCATGCCGTGGCAGCATCAGCTCCCAGGTCTCGCACGTCGCCACCGTTGCTGCCCTCGCCGTCGCTGACGCTGTCGGTGAACCCGTTGCCGAGGAGGACAGCCGGACAGCTTGCGGGGGCCCCCTGGCGCTCCAGACCCGGCAGCGGCGTCGCAGCGCAAGCAGTACCGCTCGCCAGGGGGCTCTCTGCGGGCGCCTCCTGGCAAGGAGGCCCGCTCACACTCAACAAATCACACGAGGAGAAGACCACTGCCCCGCAAGTGCAGACGAGGCCGGGCCACGCATCCGCCGCGAAGGCAAGGTCGCACACGTCCCCTCCGCCTGCTGCCCAGCGGCCAGGGGGCCGCAGAGGCCAGAAAGGCGCCGCGCCCCTGCGGAGCTGGGCGGCCGCGGCCTGCCCCGCGCACTGCGCCAGCAGGATCCGCGAGGGAGGCTCGGCCACGCAGACCTCGATCTGGATGTCCACGGCCGCCTTCGGCACATCGAGCGGCCTCGGCAGAAGGGGTTCATGCCGAGCACGGTCGCCGTCGCCCTTGACCAACATGCCGAGCTTCAGGAACTCGGGCCCGAGGTCCAGCGACTGGGCAACGGCTCGCAGGGCGTCCCCAAGCCGATGATGATGCATGCCGAGGGCCGCGTCTGCTCGATGGTGGAGCAGCAGCGCTTGGCCAAGCTGCACCAACCGCCCCGTGAGGGCATCGCGGAGCTCGTCCGAGGGGCGAAGCGCCGCAGCAGCCGACGCGGCCGCCGCCTCCGCCTCCATCCTGTCGCGAGCAACGTGGCGGGCCTGGTCCAGCTGCCCCTCGAGCTCGCGGATCCGCGCGCAGGCAGCCGCCAGCCCTTTGTCGCAGGAGGCCAGGGCCCTCCTCCTCGCCGCCGTGCGCTCAGCACGTGAGCGCCGCGGCCTCGCCAGATGGGAATCGCCAGGAGGCGACTCCGCCCGCGCCATCGATCCCAAGCGCGCGCGCCCTGGGCGGCTTGAGCCAAAATGGCTACGGAACGCCGTGCTCCTGTGGTTTGCCTTGCTCCTGTGTGGTCTGCCGTGCTCCTTTTGGGTCTGCTCTGCCGTGCTCCTGTGGGGTCTGCCGTGCTCCTGTGGGGTCTGCCGTGCTCTTGTGGGGTCTGCCGTGCTCTTGTGTGGTCTGCCGTGCTCCTTTGTGGTCTGCCGTGCACACGGGAGCACGGCAGACCACCTGCTCATTTTCTGAGGACGTCCCGAGCGAAAACGTCATTTTTGACATAAGAGGTTCTAAAACACCTCTGTCGGCATCTCATTTTTTCGAGGATGTCTCGAGCGAAACGCTCATTTTTCATGCATAACAAAAATTTTTGATATTTTTCAACATCCCGATTTTTTGAGGATGTCTCGAGCGAAACCGTCATTTTTGACATAAGACGTCTTAAACGATAGCCTCCAACACCTCGATTTTTCGAGGATGTCTCGAGCGAAATTGCCATTTTGGGGAACCTGACCGGACAAGAACGGGAAGCGTGCTTTTGTCCCCTGGGCTTATGAGATATTCCACGTTTTTAGTACGGCATACCACAGCAGTGCCACGTACCACTGCCGTGCTCCTTTGGGGTCTGCCGTGCTCCTGTGGAGTTTGCCGTGCGAACGTGTGGTCTGCCGTGCTCCTGTGTGGTCTGGCGTGCTCCTGTATGGTCTGCCGTGCTCTTGTGTGGTTTGCCGTGCTCCTGTGTGGTCTGCCGTGCTCCCGTGGGGTCTGCCGTGTCCTGTGTGGTCTGCCGTGCTCCTGTGTGGTCTGCCGTGCTCCTGTGTGGTCTGCCGTGCTCCTTCTTGGTCTGCCGTGCTCATGTGGGGTCTGCCGTGCTCCTGTGCGGTCTGCCGTGCGAACGTGTGGACTGCCGTGCTCATTTGGTGTCTGCCTTGCTCCTTTGTGGTTTGCCGCGCTCCTGTGTGGTCTGCCGTGCTCCTGTGTGGTCAGCCGTGCTCCTGAGGCGTCTACGGTGCTCTTTTGGGGTCTGCCGTACTCATTTGGGGTCTGCCGTGCACCTGTGGTCGGCCGTGCTCATTTGGGGTCTGCCGCGCGCCTGTGAGATCTGCCGTGCTCCTGTTGGGGAAACGCCAGCGGCGTTCGGGGTACAACAAAAAGGCGCGTTTATGTTGTACCCGCGCGCGGTCTGCCGTGCTCCTGTGGGTTCCGCCGTGCTCCTGTGGCGTCTGCCGTGCTCCTGTGGCGTCTGCCGGGCTCCTGTGTGGTCTGCCGTGCTCCTTTGTGGTCTGCCGTGCTCCTGTGGAGTCTGCCGTGCTCCTGTGTGGTCTGCCGTGCTCTTGTGGTCTGCCGTGCTCATTTGGGATTTGCCGTGCTCATGTGGGGTCTGCCGTACTCCTGTGTGGTCTGCCGTGCTCCGGTGGTCTGCCGTGCTCCTTTGGGGTCTGCCGTGTCCTACTGTGGGGTCTGCCGTGCTCCTGTGTGGTCTGCCGTGCTCCTGTGTCGTGTCGCGTCGTGCGGGGCCTATGAAGGCTAAAGGAAGCCCGAGGCCCGCGGAGCGCATTGGCCCCAGGGCCTCAAGGGCCAGCCCTGGGGGCCCGAAAGGGGCCTCCGCAGGGAGGGGGGCGCGGAGCGCCAGACGCGCGAAGCGCAAGATTTCAAAGAAATCAAGAAGGCAGCAGAGGCAGCGGCGCGTACGCGCGCCCAACAGGCCCCCCACGCTGCGAGTGCGCCAAGGGCAGAAGAGCTGCCTCACGCACAGAAAGGAAAAGGATGACGGGGGGCGGACACAACAGAAGGGAGGAAGATGCTGCATCGCACCCCACCGTCACCGTCGGCGCGGCGGCGCCTCAGGCCTGCCCACGCGCGCCAACCCATCCGCGGCAGACCGCTCATGGAGGCTCGCCTCACAAGGCCGAAAGCGCAAGCCAGCCTTCACCCCGTGGCCCCCGCGGGGCCAGGCGCCAGCGGCTCCGCCGCCGCCTCTGCAGCCGCCGCCGCGCCGCTGGGGGGCCCACTGCCGTCGCCAGCGGTCTGCCGCAAGGGGCGTGCACGGGGCGGGCCCCCACTGAAGGAAGCGCACCCGCGCCACCGGCACCACTTCCTCCTTGCGAAGGCAGGGTGCAGTCGAGCCGACCCTTTTGCTGCCGCTGTGGGGCGTGCCAGGGAGGCCGACATCAACCACTTCTTCGTCGCCTCCTGCGTCCCGCATTCCACGGCAATGGGCCAATGGGCGCTCTGAGCGGGCCAATGGGCGGGGGCTGCCCTTCCCGCTGCAGCTCGGCCATCCACGTCCGCAGGCAGACGTACTCGTAGCGCCGTATGCAGTCCGACACGATCATCTGCGACCGCGTCAGCGTGTGGCGCCACCTGTAGTAGGCCCTCCTCGCAGGCATGCCAGTCCCCCAGGCCCGCTCGCAGATCTCTTCGGCTAACTCGACGGCCGTCCTCCCACGCGCCCGCAGCCTGGAGGCGAAGCGCGGCTGGGACAGGATCTGCGTGACGTAGCCGACGCAGTGGTCCATCCACTCGCTGTAGCATTCCATCGTTTCGCCAACCTCGGGGGTCTGGGTCCAGAAGCGCGCCCATACAGCGAGCTGCCGCTCAAGCCTGGGCGCGATGCTGCGCCTCGGCCGCGCTGGCTCAGGCCGAGCCGCCTCAGCGCCAGGCCATAGCTCCTTGAGCTTGGGCGCCGCACCTCTGCTCCCGCCAAGCCTCGCATACGCCCCGCAGTGGGTGCCCGCCATCAGCTCCTGCTTGGCCGCGCCGACTCCGCACCTGTCGAGGGCAATCCACTGCCAGATGAGGGAGACTTGCGCCTCCCCGCCTGAGAGCTCAATCACCACTTCCATCGTGCCGAAGAGCCCACGCCTGGCCACCGCACTGGCTCGGTGCCGCTCCGCACCTGCCTTGGCCCAGCTGTCGGCAAGACCGTTGCCGCTGAGGTGGGCCACCGTGACCTTGCTGTCCAGCACGTCACTGGCGGTACAGTGAGCTGCGGCCGGGGTCGCCTTGAGCGTGTCCACGTCCAGCGAGGCGTAGAACCCCTCCCAGAGAAGGGCATTGGGCCTGCTGGCTGCCGTTGCGTGCCTCTTGCCCAACGTGAGACAGCTGACCATAGACGCACAGCCGATGAGGATCTCCTCCACACGCGGGCCCAGGAAGCGAGCAGACATCCTGGAGGCGAAGCAGGGCGGGGCTATGCGGGCGCGCACCGAAGCGCTCGCGCGTGGTGGCGCAGGAGGCCGCGCAGGCTGCCAACGCCGATGAAGCCTCGAACCATTCGGAGGGGTGGTCGCCGCCCTCGGCATGGCACGTCGCTTCCGAGGGCTCCAGGAAGTGTCCCCGCACCGCCACTGCCATCCCAACTCCACGAGGGGCTCGGGCTCCATGTTGAAGACGGCTTGGAGGACCCACAGGATGTCGGCAGAGAGGCCCGTCACCTCCGAGAAGGCCGAAAACAGGACCAGGTCGGTGACTCGCGGGCCCGCAGGGTGCTGGACAAACTCAGAGACCGCCAGGGACTGCGGGCCCGAGGCGGAGGCTCCCTCCCCACAGCGAAGGCGGTGCCGCAAGGCGGAGGGCAGCGAGAACTCCGACTCGTCGGCCTGCACGCCGTCTCGCACCAGGACCGCCGCCCCGCCTGAGGTCACCTGGGGCCCCTGCTTGTCCGACAGCGCTGCCTCGGGGAGGACTGCCGCGTAGCCCAGGCCGCGGGCCTGAGCCGCTGCACTGGGCAGGCGCACATGCGATGGCCTCGTCTCCTGCCGCGCCACCACGTCGCGCCAGTAGTGGCACGTCTTGGAGAAGGCCTCTATGACCTCAATGCTCCTGTTCCAAGTGTTGCCATTGCAGCCGAGGGGGACGAGGCCAGCTCTTAGCAGCTGGCCTCCCCCCCTGTCCACCATCGGCGCCTTGCCCCTGACGGCCGCCACGCGGACTGCACGCTGCCCAGCGCACGACGCAGAGGACGCCGAGCCCCTGGTCGCGGGACCCTCCGCCCCCACCAGGACTGGAGGGGGGACCTGGCCCCACGCTCCAGCGCTCCTCATCGGCGAGGGCGGGCCGCTGGCCTGCGCGGGAGGTGGCCACCGCTGAGGAGGAGGCCGTCCCTCGACCCCTCCGGTTGCCAGCGGGGGGTGACCCTGCCCATCACCAACGGGGCCGAGAGCTGCGACGTCGTGGGGCTGAATCCCACCGCTCACGGCCCCTGACTGGCCGTCGGGGGGCCACCTCGGTGTTCCCGACCGCGCCAGTTGGCTACCTCGGGCAGGGGTGCGCGGCGCCGCCCGCCGCTTGCGATGGCCGCGGGTGCGCCAGCAGCCACCACAGCGCCTCCTCCACCTGTCCCAGCAGCTGGGCCCTCGCACGTCCTGAAGGAAGGGCGCACCGCTGTCCCAGACGTCGATGTCGGCGGTGGAAGCTGCCCACTCCAACGCTCTCGCCTCACCCACGGCGCGGCCCGTATCCAGCAGCAGGAGCAGCCACAGCACCCGCAGCCACCAGGGGGTCGCTGTCCGCGAGGGCCGCCCCTTGCTCGGCGAGGGCCTTGGCGAGGCACGGCTCCACCTGAGGCCACGTGCCCAGGGTCGCCCCGTGCTGGCCGCGGGCCGCAGCAGGGCCGTAGGGCCCGTCCACTGACCTGGCCCGCGGGCCTGGCGGCCCAGCCGCGGTAGGCCCTGCCTGCGGGGCAGCAGAGGGCGGGGCGGCCGCTGGCCCCCCAGAGGCCACGATGCCGAGCGGCATGACGTCATCGTCGGTCGCGAGGCCGTCGTCCCCGACGCTGTCGCCCCAACGCGTCGTGGCCGAGCTGCTGCGGGGCCTGAGCACTTCGGCGACCGCCTCCTTCTGCGTGCTGAGAATCCCGACGATCTCGGAAAACCTCGGGGGCAGCTCCGACCCGTGCTGCTTGAGGAGATCCGACAGGGCGCCGACCTGAGTGAGCAGCCCTTGGACTGCGTCCCCGAGCGGGCTCGGAACACCTCCGACGGCCGCGTTGGCCCGCTGGATCGCCTGCTGCGTGACCTTGGCTCGGGTATCCTCCAGCTCGGCAATCTGCCCCACGACCTCATCCACTCCCAGCTCGGCTGCCGAGAGCTGCTCCTGCTTCTCCGCGATGAGTTCGCGCAGCTCGGACGCCTGCAGCTGGAGCTTCTCCTTCTTGGTGCGCGCCGCAGCCAGCTGGCGCTCGACCTTCTTAATGGCGTTGGCCTCAATGTGGAGCACCGAGTGAGGTGGGCGCACCGTCCGCTGGGCATCCTGGACGGCCAGCTCCAGGGCTGCGACATGGTCCTTGCCCAGCTGGAGGGCGCTCTCGGCCTCACGCTGGAAGTCCGCCGAGAGCCCGAGCGCCAGGGCCCCCTGGAGCTTGTCGACGCGCTCCCTGGCCGCCACGAGCTGCGCCTGCAGCTCCTCGAACAGGGCCTTGGCCTCCCCCCAAGGTCGCCCACGCCGCTCCCTGCTGTTGGGGCCGTGCTCCTTTAGGGTCTGCTCTGCCGTGCTCCTGTGGGGTCTGCCGTGCTCCTGTGGGGTCTGCCGTGCTCTTGTGGGGTCTGCCGTGCTCTTGTGTGGTCTGCCGTGCTCCTTTGTGGTCTGCCGTGCTCCTGTGTGGTCTGCCGTGCTCCTGTGTGGCCTGCCGTGCTCTTGTGTGGTCTGCCGTGCTCCTGTTGGTCTGCCGTGCTCTTCTATGGTCTGCCGTGCTCCTATGGGGTCTGCCGTGCTCCTGTGGGGTCTGCCGTGCTCATGTGTGGTCTGCCGTGCTCCTGCGCGGTCTGCCGTGCTCCTGTGGCGTCTGCCGTGCTCCTGTGTGGTCTGCCGTGCTCCTGTGGTCTGCCGTGCTCATTTGGGGTTTCCCGCCAGCTTGTGGGGTCTGCCGTGCTCCTGTGGGGGAAACGCCAGCGGCGTTCGGGGTACAACAAAAGGCGCGTTTATGTTGTACCTGCGCGCGGTCTGCCGTGCTCCTGTGGGGATTGCCGTGCTCCTGTGTGGTCTGCCGTGCTCCTGTGTGGGCTGTGGGCTGCGGGGCCTATGAAGGCGACAGGAAGCCCGAGGCCCACGGAGCCCATTGGCCCCAGGGCCTCAAGGGCCAGCCCTGGGGGCCCCAAAGGAGCCCCAGCAGGGGAGGGCGCGAAGCGCCAAACGCGCGAAGCGCACGATTTCAAAGAAATCAAGAAGGCAGCAGGGGCAGGGGCGCGCACACACTCCCAACAAGCCCCCAAAGCTGCAAGTGCACAATGGGCAGAAGTGCTGACTCACGCACAGAAAGGAAAAGGATGACGAGGGGCGGATACAACAGAAGGAGAAAAGGATGCTGCATCACTACCCCTCGTCACCAGCAGCGCGGCGGCGTCTCATGCGCCTGTCAACGCTCGCAGTCTCAGCCGCGGCTGACCATTCACCGCTTCTACGTCGCCTCCTGCGTCCCGCATGCCACGGCACCGAAGGCGCTCTGAGCGCTCTGAGCGGGCCAATGGGCGGAGGCTGCCCTTCCCACTGCAGCTCGGCCAGCCACGTCCGCAGGCACACATAGTCGTAGCGCCGCATGCAGTCCGACACGATCCTCTGCGACGGCGTCAGCGTGTGGCGCCACCTGTAATAGGCCCGCCTCACAGGCATGCCAGTCCCCCAGGCCCGCTCGCAGATCTCCTCGGCCAAATCTTCGGCCGACCTCCCACGCGCCCGCAGCCTGGTGGCGAAGCGCGGCTGGGTCAGGATCTGCGTGACGTAGCCGACACAGTGGTCCATCCACTCGCTGTAGCATTCCATCGTCTCGCCGACCTCGGGGGCCTGGGTCCAGTAGCGCGCCCATCCAGCGACCTGCCGCTCAAGCCTGGGCGCGACGCTGCGCCTCGGCTGCTCTGGCTCAGGCCGAGCCCCCGCAGAGCCAGGGCATCGCTCCTTGAGCTTGGGCCCCGCGCCTGTGCGCCCGCCAAGCCTCTCGGTCGCCCCGCAGTGGGTGCACGCCATCAGCTCCTGCTCGGCTGCGCCGTCTCCACACTTGTCGAAGGCCATCCCCTGCCAGATGAGGGAGGCTTCCGCCCAGCATGAGAGCTCCCTCACCAGCTCATCCATCGTGCCGAAGAGCCCGGTCCTGGCCACAGCGCTGGCGCGGTGCAGCTCCGCATCTGCCTTGGCCCAGCGTTCGGCATGACCGTTGCCGCGGAGGTAGGCCTCCATGACCTTGCTATCCAGCACGTCTCTAGCGATGCAGTGAGCTGCAACAAAGGTCACCTTGAGCGTGTGGAAGTCGGCTTTGAGGACCCACGGGATGTCGGCAGAGAAGCCCGTCACCTCCACACGGCTGCTGCGGTACCGCGAGGCCGAGGGCAACGAGGGCGCCGACTCGTCGGCCTGCAAGCCGTCCCGCACAAAGCACGCCGCACCGTCTGAGGTCGCCTGGGGCCCCTGCTTGTCCGACCGCTCTGCCTCGGGGGGGAAGGGATCGTCTCCCTGGCAGCGGCCCTGAGCCGCCATCCTGGGCTGGCGCTCATGCGGGAGCCTCGTCTCCTGGAGCCCCACCACGTCGGGCCAGTAGCTGCCCGTCCTGAAGAAGGCCTCAAGGGACACAATACTCCTGCTCCACGTGTGGCAGTTGCAGCCGAGCAAGACGAGGCCTGCCCTACGCTGCTGGCCTCCTGCCCTGACAACCAACGGCGCCTTGCCGATGACGAATGCCACGCGGACTGCGCCCTGGCCAGCGCCCGACACAGGGCACGCCTCGCCCCTGGTCGCGGGACCCTCCACCCCCACCAGGACTGGAGGGGGGACCTGGCCCCACGCTCCAGCGCTCCTCAACGGCAACGGCGGGCGGCTGGCCAGCACGGGAGGTGACCACCGCTGAGGAGGTGGCCGTCCCTCGACCCATCCGGTTGCCAGCGGGGGGTGCCCCTGCCCATCACCGTCGGGGCCGAGAGCTGCGACGCCGTGGGGCAGAATCCCACCGCTCACGGCCCCTGACTGGCCGTCGGGGGGCCACCTCGGTGTTCCCGACCGCGCCAGCTGGCTACTTCGGGCAAGGGCACTCGGCGCCGCCCGCCTCCTGCGAGGGCCGAGGGCGCGCCAGCGGCCAGCACAGCGCCTCCTCCACCTGTCCCAGCAGCTGGGCCCTCGCACGGCCCAAGGGAAGGGCGCTCCGCTGTCCCAGACGTCGAGGTCGGCGGAGGAAACGGCCCACTCCGACGTTCTCGCGTCACCCACGGCGTGGCCCGTATCCAGCAGCAGGAGCAACCACAGCAGCCGCTGCCACCAAGGGGTCGCTGTCCATGAGGGCCGCCCCTTGCTCGGCGAGGGCCTGAGCGAGGCATGGCTCCACCTGAGGCCACGTGCCCAAGGTCGCCCCGTGCTGGCCGCGGGTCGCTGCAGGACCGTAAGGCCCGTCAACTGACCTGGCCCGCGGGCCTGGCGGCCCAGCCGCGGTAGGCCCTGTCTGCGGGGCTGCCGCGGGCGGGGCGGCCGAGGACCCCCCAGAGACCACGATGTCGAGCGGCATGTCGTCATCATCGGACGCGATGCCATCATCCCCGACGCTGTCGCCCCAACGCGTCCTGGCCGAGCTGCTGCGGGGCCTGAGCGCCTCGGCGACCGCCTCCTTCTGCGTGTTGAGAATCCCGACGATCTCGGAAAACCGAGGGGGCAGCTCCGACCCGTGCTGCTTGAGGAGGTCCGAAAGGGCGCCGACCTGGGTGAGCAGCCCTTGGACGGCGTCCCCAAGCGGGCTCGGAGCACCTCCGACGGCCGCATTGGCCCGCTGGATCGCCTGCTGCGTGACCTTGGCCCTGGTCTCCTCCAGCTCAGCGATCTGCCCCGCGACCTCATCCACTCCCAACTCGGCAGCCGACAGCTGCTCCTGCTTCTCCGCAATGAGCTCGCGCAGCTCGGACGCCTGCAGCTGGAGCTTCTCCTTCTTGGTGCGTGCCGCGGCCAGCTGGCGCTCGACCTTCTGAATGGCGTTGGCCTCGATGTGGAGCACCGAGTGAGGTGGGCGCTCCGTCCGCTGGGCCTCCTGGACGGCCAGCTCACAGGCGGCGACCTGGTCCTTGCCCAGCTGGAGGGCGCTCTCCACCTCACGCTGGAAGTCCGCCGAGAGCCCGAGCGCCAGGGCCTCCTGGAGCTTGCCGACGCGCTCCTTGGCCGCCACGAGCTGCGCCTGCAGCTCCACGCACTGGGTCTTGGCCTCTCCCCAGGGCCGCACCCGCCTTGCCCTGCTGTTGGGGGTGCTGCTGGGCGCGGTGCTCCCCGAGAGGGCCCGCTGGGAGGCCGAGCGCCTCGCTGCCCGCTGTTCGGCCCTTCCCCTGGGTTGCTGAACGAACCCGTCAGCGTCCACTCTCGGGGGCCCTCTGTCGGAGCGGTACTCCTTCGTCCATGGGGGAGCACTGGTACCGCACACCTTGCACGTCCAACGCTTGTCACACCAGTTCCAAGCGTTGCAACCCCGCTTGGCACATAGCCAGTACGCCCGCCTGGCCAGCCCCGAGGCAACCTCCGACATGGCGGCGCACCGTGGGACTGACTGCTGCTCGGCCGAAACTCTCGGCCCTGCAGGAACGAGGAGAACCAAAATTGGCGAAGCTTCTGGCTCTTGGCGAAGCGCCCCTCGCGCTCCAGAACGCCCGACGGACTCGCGGTCGTCGGGTGCGCCATGGCCTTGAGCCAAAATGGCTTGAGCCAAAATGGCTACGGACCGTGCTCCTGTGTGGTTTGCCGTGCTTCTGTGGTCTGCCGTGCTCCTTTGTGGTTTGCCGTGCTCCTGTGGGGTCTGCCGTGCTCCTGTGGGGTCTGCCGTGCTCCTGTGAGGTCTGCGGTGCTCTTGTGTGGTCTGCAGTGCTTCTGTGTCTGCCGTGCTCATTTGGGATCTGCCGTGCTCGTGTGGTGTCTGCCGTGCTCCTGCGGGATCTGCTGTGCTCCTTGTGTCGTCTCTTTGGTCTGCCGTGCTCGTGTGGGGTCTGCCGTGCTCCTGTGTGGTCTGCCGTGCTCCTGTGGGGGCAAACCAGCAACACGTGAAGAAGTTATCCTGACGGGGCAAACCAGCAACACGTCAAAGGTTATCCTGAGGGGGGCAAACGAGCAACACGCCAAGAAGGTGCTGAGGTGGTCGACCACCAACACTTCAATAAGTTACCCTGAGGCAAAACCAGCCACTCGCCAAGAAGTCATCCTGAGGGGGCAAACCAGCAACACGTCAAGAAGGTGCTGAGGGGACAAACCAGCAACACGTCAAGAAGGTATCCTGGGGGGGGCAAACCAGCAACACGTCAATGCGGTATCCCGAGGGGACCAAACCAGCAACACCACTGCCGTGCTCCTGTGTGGACTGCCGTGCTCCTGTGGGGTTTGCCGTGATCCTGTGTGGTCTGCCGTGCTCCTGTGCGGTCTGCCGTGCTCTTGCGGGGTTTGCCGTGCTCCTGTCGGCTCTGCCGTGCTCGTTTTGGGTCTGCCGTGTTCCTGTTGGGTCTGCCGTGCTCTTGTGTGTCGTGTCGTGTCGTGTCGTGTCGTGCGGGGCCTATGAAGGCTAGAAGAAGCCCGAGGCCCACGGAGCCCATTGGCCCCAGGGCCTCAAGGGCCAGCCCTGGGGGCCCGAAAGGGGCCACCGCAGGGGGGGCGCGGAGCGCCAGACGCCCGCCAGGGCCAACGGGGGCGCCTAGGCCCCAGGGCCACGGGGGCGGGCAGTGCCGAGAGGCATGCAGAAGCAGCGAAGCTGCACAGAAGAGCTCACGTACACATTCAAATACAAGAAATGCGAATGCACGGAGCAAACGGAATTAGCGTCCGCACGCAAGGCTAGCAGCGAAGCTGCACCGATTGCTAGCTCACGTACACATTCAAATACAAGAAATGCGAATGCACGGAGCAAACGGAATTAGCGTCCGCACGCAATCTGGACGACCTGCAGGCGGCCTTCGAGGATACGCTCACGCTCCTCGGCATCTGGCCAGCCTGCAGTGCTGGGGCGGACGCCGAGAAAGCGGGCCTCGGCCGAGCTCAGGAGTGCCTCAACTCCCGTCTTGGGCCCAATGGCCGCGCACAGCACCGCCGCCACCGAGAAATCGTCCAGGAAGAAAAACAGGCTCTCGCTGAACGCGTGGCGGGAGGCCGGCTTCGAGAGCACCTCCCGCTCGCCCTTGGGCTCGGTGCCCTCCTCCAGCGTTCCCTGCCGCTCGGACAGCGCCGCCAGGTCGCCCTTCTGCGAGACCAGCTGCTCGGAGGTCGCCTCCTGCGCGCACGGCCGCTGCAAGAGCACCTCCAGCTCGCCCCTGGCCTCGGCGCCCTCCTCGAGCGCGCCCTGCCGAACGGACAGCGCCGCCAGGTCGTCCTGCAGCTCGACCGTGGGCTCGGCGCCCTCCTCCAGCGCGCCCAGCCGCCCCGAGGGCGCCTCCAGCGCGACCGTGCCGTACTCCTCGAACGCGCCCTGCCGCTCGGACACCGTCGCCGCGTCGCCCGCCAGCGAGCCAAGCTGCTCCGAGAGCGCCTCCAGTTCGGCCTTGGGCTCGGCGGTGTCCACCAGCGCGCACAGCCGCTGCGGGAGCGCTTCCAGCTCGACCGTGAGCTCGGCGCCCTCCTCGAGCGCGCCCTTCCGCCCAGACAGCTTCGCCAGGTCGCCCTGCAGCAAGCCGAGCTGCTCCGAGAGCGCGGAGCTGAGCGGCGTGCGCCTCGCGTCGGCCGCCTCTGGCAGCCCACGTCGCGGCGGGGCCGGAGGGGAGGGCCGCGCGGGCACCTCGCACTCGCAGATCTCGACCTCGCACACGACGGCGGCCGCCGCCCCCCGGCCGAGCACGCCTCCAAGGCGCGGACCCGCCGCCGCCCAGGCCAAGCCAGCCCGCGGTGCCGCCGCAAACCCCGCTGCAGGCGCACGAGCCGCGTGCAGGGCCGTGTTCCGGCGGAATCTCACGGCCCCTGGCACGGGCCGGCCGCCAGAGGCCAGGATCAGGGCGGGCCGAGCGGCCGCCTCCCTGTCCTGCCACGAACCAGGCTCGGCAGCAGGCCCGCCACCCGTGAGGCCCGCGATGACCTCCCTGAGGCGCGCGACCTCCTTCTCCAGCTCGCCGGCGCGCGCACGGGCGTGCCGCACGGCCGCATCGGCCGCGGCACGGGCTCGCCGCGCAGCCTCGCTGCGCTCGCCGCGCGAGCGGGGGAACCGCGGGTGGTCCCCTCCCGTCGCCATCGCTCCCAAGCACACGCTGCGCGCGCGCGCCCGAGCAGGCTTGAGCCAAAATGGCTACGGACCGTGCTCTTGTGTGGTCTTCCGTGCTCCTGTGTGGTCTGCCGTGCTCCTTTGGGGTCTGCCGTATTCGTGTGGGGTCTGCCGGGCTCCTGTGTGGTCTGCCGTGTTCCCTTTGTGGTCTGCCGTGCTCCTGTGGAGTCTGCCGTGCTCCTGTGTGGTCTGCCGTGCTCCTTTTTTTCCGCCTGCCGTGCTCCTGCTCATTTTCTGAGGACGTCCCGAGCGAAAACGTCATTTTTAACATAAGAGGTTGTAAAACACCTCTGTCGGCATCTCATTTTTTCGAGGATGTCTCGAGCGAAACGCTCATTTTTCATCATAACAAAAATTTTTGATATTTTTCAACATCCCGATTTTTTGAGGATGTCTCGAGCGAAACCGTCATTTTTAACATAAAACGTCTTAAACGATAGCCTCCAACATCTCGATTTTTCGAGGATGTCTCGAGCGAAATGGCCATTTTGGGGAATCCGCCAACGAAAGATCCCGTGCAATCGCGCAACCCATAGATATAAAGATATATATATATATATATATATATATATACTCAAGGATTCAGCCAGAACGTCCCGCTTGCTTCTCGTACCTCGAAGACGCTTCCCGTCATCCGCCAACGAACGCGCCGTGCGGCCCGCAACCCAAGATATAGATATATAATATATATATTATATATATATATTATATATATATATATATTTACTCAAGGATTCAGCCAAGCACAGGAGCAAGGCAGACCACACAGGCGCACGGCAGACCACACCTCGATTTTAGGAGGATGTCTCGAGCGAAATGCCCGTGGTCTGCCGTGCTCCACACGGGAGCACGGCAGACCACCTGCTCACACGGGAGCACGGCAGACCACCTGCTCATTTTCTGAGGACGTCCCGATCGTAGACGCCTTTTTTGACATTAAAGGTTCTAAAACACCTCTGTCGGCATCACATTTTTTCGAGGATGTCTCGAGCGAAACGCTCATTTTTCATGCATAACAATTTTTTTTTTATATTTGTCAACATGAGCACGGCAGACCACCTGCTCACACGGGAGCATGTTTTAGACCACCTGCTCATTTTCTGAGGACGTCCCGAGCGAAAACGTCATTTTTGACATAAGAGGTTCTAAAACACCTCTGTCGGCATCTCATTTTTCCGAGGATGTCTCGAGCGAAACGCTCATTTTTCATGCATAACAGAAATTTTTGATATTTTTCAACATCCCGATTTTTGAGGATGTCTCGAGCGAAACCGTCATTTTTGACATAAGACGTCTTAAACGATAGCCTCCAACACCTCGATTTTTCGAGGATGTCTCGAGCGAAATGGCCATTTTGGGGAATCCGCCAACGAACCCCGTGCGATCCCGCAACCCATAGATATAAAGATATATATATATATATATATATATATATATATATTTACTCAAGGATTCAGCCAGAACGTCCCGCTTGCTTCTCGTACCTCGAAGACGCTTCCCGTCATTCCGCCCCCCGTGCGGCCGCGCAACCCATAGATATAAAGATATATATATATATATATATATATATATATTTACTCAAGGATTCAGCCAGAACGTCCCGCTTGCTTCTCGTACCTCGAAGACGCTTCCCGTCATCCGCCGGCCCCCTTCGACCTCGTAATTAATCGCACAAGAAATCAGCCGGCCCCCTTCAAGTAAAAACCGGGGGGTAAACCCACTAAAAGAGAACACTGGGCCCAGGCCCTTTCCGGGACAAAAATATAAAATACACCAAAAATAATCAAAACATGCTCCAAAAATAGTCTGGGGACTATTTGATGAGTATGTTTTACCCTCTTGGGGTAGTTTGGGAGTATTTTTAATGTTTCGTCGAAAACCCCCTCTTGGGACAATGTTTTGACTATTTTTTGTGATCTTTTGGGGGCACTTTTGGCGAGCGCCGCCGCACGGAGTGCCGTCAGGCCCCCCGCGGAGTCCACGGGCGGCAGGGCCGCGGAGGAGCGAGGAGCGAGGAGGAGCGAGGAGGAGCGAGGAGGAGCGAGGAGGAGCGAGGAGGAGCGAGGAGGAGCGAGGAGGAGCGAGGAGGAGCGAGGAGAGGAGAGGGCCGAGGGGAGGAGGGAGGAGGAGGGGAGGAGGAGGGGAGGAGGGGAGGAGGGGAGGAGGGGGGGAGGGGAGGAGAAGAGGAGGGGAGGAGGGGAGGAGGGGCGGAGGGGAGGAGGGGCGGAGGGGAGGAGGAAGAGGAGTCCAGGCGAGAGCCCGTTCTGTTGAGGCTCTACCTGAGACCCCTCCCGCCATGAAAGAGGCAAGGTCAGAAAATCCACGGAATAGGTCAGCGCTAGCCCTCGTTTGAAAACTGGCTGTCCTCCACCCGCGCACGGCACCGAATCATGGTTTCGGGCACACCTCTTCGGCGGTCTTGGGGCGGTCTTGGGGGCGTCGTCGGCCGTCTTGGAGCGTCGGAGGGTCGAAAACGCGAGAACCCGAAAAGCATCAAGAGAACTATGAAAATCAATGATTTGGGCCTCTTCGGGCTCTCTCAGGGTGCTTGTCGAAGCTCTCTTGAGACATCTTGGAGGCCTCTTCTTTTTTGTGGCTGACATGAAACATGGAGCGAAGCCTATCGCGACTTGCAAAACTTCAAACTCAAATGAAAAAGAGCCTCAAGTTCCCGTGGGCCTGCAGAAGGTCGGTCTCCTTACTGCGATCCGAGCGGCGCCAGAGCACCGCTTCCCACGTCGAGAGGAGGGAGGTAAGCAGGATGTAGGGATTTGTCGTAAGAGAGAGCGCGAGGGAGAGAGAGAGAGAGAGAGGGGTACGCAACTTTGATCGCTGAACTGGCGCAAAGCGATTGCGAACGTCAGGCGGGGAGGCATCTCAAAAAGCATGCATGACTCGGCGAGCTCTGTCCTCTGGTCCTGATAGGCCTGAGCTGCTGCCTCAGGCGTACTCGTTCACTCGCGCAGCAGATCTTGCTCGTCCTCCACGAGCACTGGCTGGTTGGACGCGCGGCGTCGGGAGACGCCGATGACCCCACCCATAGCGGCGAGAGCGAACACCAATCCGAGCGGCACTGACACCGCAACGGAGTTCTTGTCGAGCTCCGAGGTCGGCTCCGCCTCCGGAGCGGCATCGTACAAGCGAACCGCCTTCGTTGGGCAAGTGTCCGTGTTGGCGGCGCCTCTGCATTGTTCGCACTCGGCAACGAGGATGTCCGTCGGAGAGCTCGCGGGCCCCTCGTTGTCGTTGGAGCCGAAGCCCACAGTGGTCTGCTGGCACCAATACAGGAACCTCTCGGAGCAGGTCGTGGACTTGCAAAGGACGGTCTTGACGCAGATGTTGTGAAATTCGACGCTTGTCGTCGGTGCTCCCTCTTCACATGGCGCATAGTAGAAAGGATTGTTGCTGCCACTGGGGTCAAGGGTGCTGCACCCGCATGGTGCACCGTTTGGAGCTGTTCCTCCAAACGAGCCACCCGGAACCTCCACCTCGGCATAATGCTGGCACTGGGCCTCCGTCGGATTTCGCCACTCGCCGGCTGTAGCCATCTCCGCGCATGTAGGATTGACTCCATCTACTGACGTGACCTCTTGGTACTCCACGGCTTTGACGGTGGTCAACAGGCCCGCGAGCGACAGAGCTCTCGCCATGAAGGCCATGGTTGCGCGAAGAGAGAAGCGCGGAGAGGAAACGCGGGATATAGAAAATTAGCTCAGAAGCCAATCTGTAGCCCTGATCAAAGGTGGCTTGGCTCGAAATGGCTTGAGCCAAATGACTTGGGCCAGAATGATTACGGATTGGGGCCTCTTGGAAGCCTCTTGGGGTGTGTATTTGCGGTCTCGAACCCATCTTGGGCCACGTTGGGGCTATCGGGACTGTCTTGGAAGGGCTTGTCGAAGTCCCCGAGGGTTTCTGGGAGCTCTCTGGGGCAGTCTGGGAGCTCCAGGACCGCTCCAGGGTGCTCTGGGAGCGGTCTGGGAAGCCATGGGTCTCGCATGCCCCCCGTGGCCCGGGCCTCGTACACGGGGGGAGAGAGAGAGAGAGAGAGAGAGAGAGAGCGAGAGAGAGAGAGAGAGAGAGAAATATACGTATATGCATTTATACATATATAATGTGTATGTGTATGAGTTAGTATGTGTTTTTGTGTGTGCAAGATGTATGCGCAAATGCAACTGAGGACCTACACACCTACACATGCATGAATACCTACATGTGCACTGGTTTTTCCCTACCTAGGCTCTGCCTAGAGGGTTCTTACCGTGTGTGCTTAAGGGGCTGGGCAGTGTAAATCGCCCCAGGCGGTTCCCCAAGGATCCGCCCCGCGGTTCCCCCAGTTACGCCCCCTGGGTTCACCCAGTTTAGCTCAGCTAAGCTTAGCTTAGCTTAGCCCATCTTAATTTAGCTTAGCCTAGCTTAGCTTAGCTTAACTTAACTTTGCCTAGCCTATGTTAGCTTAGCTTAACTTAGCTTAGCTTCACTTAGTCTAGCTTAGCTTTGCTTAGCATATCTCATCTTAGCTTTGCTTAGCTTGGCTTAGCTTAGCCTAGCTTGGCCTAGCTTAGCTGTGCTTAGCTTATCATAGCTTAGCTTACCTTAGCTTAATAGCGCAGCGCAGCAGTCGCACAGCAAAGCACAGCATAGCCAACCATAGAATAGCATAGCATAGCATAGCATAGCGTAGCATAGCATAGCGTAGCACAGTGCGGCATATCATATCATAACATACCATATCATAGCATTGCTTAGCACAGCACAGCGCAGCACATCACAGCACAACACAGCATAACGCAGCATAGCATAGCATGGCACCGCGCAGCATAGCATATCATAGCGTAGCATAGTATACCATGTCGCAGCATATCATATGATAGCATAGCCTAGCATAACATAGCATAGCATAGCGCGGCATAGCACATCATATCATAGCATAGCTTAGCGCAGCATCGCATAACATAGCATATCATAGCGCAACATAACACAGCATAGCATAGCCTAGCATACCACTGCGCAGCCGAGCGTACCCTGGCATAGCATAACAGAGCATAACGCAGCATAGTATAGTGTAGATGTAGGTGTAGATGTAGGTGTAGATGTGGATGTAGGCGTAGATGTAGATGTAGGTGTAGATGTAGATGTAGATGTATATTTAGATGTATATATATATATATGTAGATGTGGATTTAGATGTAGATGTATATGTAGATGTAGGTGTAGATGTAGGTGTATATGTAGATGTGAGTCTCGCTGTTGATGTTGATGTAGATGTAGATGCAGATGTAGATGTAAATGTAGCTGTCGGTGTAGATGTAGATGTTGCTATCATAAATGCTTATCTTCCTAGGTAGGGTCGCACTGGGATCATTATTTATGGATCTATCTATATACATATATATATATATATATATATACTAGAACCACGCGCGCGCTTCGCGCGCGCTTAGGTTCTAGTCACTCCCGCGACCACGCTTAACACCGCCAATGCCGCCACGGCTACCACCGCCCTTTCCGCCATCACCGCGGTCACGACCATTTCTGATTCCATGTCCATTCTAGGCATGACCACCCCATCCACAACGATTGCACTGTCCACGACCACTATAACGGCCATTGCTTCAACCTCTGCCTGTACCGCCACCAATACCACTACCATTGCCACTGCCACTGCCGCGAATCCACGACCACTATCATTACCACCACGGCAAGTGCCACCTCCACGACCATCCTAATCGTCGGTAGGACCACAATCGGCGCACGAACTGAAGCCAACTGCAGCCATCACCACCACGACCCCTCCGGGGCTCTCCTGGGGGCGTCTTCTGGGCCCCTTGGCGCTGTCTTGGGAGCCTTTTAGGGCTCTCTTGGAGCCCACTTGGGCCGTCTTGGGGCTTCTTGGGGCCCTCTTGGGCCGTCTTGGAGCTCTCTTGGGCCCCTCTTGGGGGCCTCTTGGCCGAATTGGGAATCCCACTGCTTCCTCTCACATCCTCGTTATTCAGTGTTCATTTCTCTTCGCCTATGCTCGTTTCCTCGCCCTTCCTCCCCTCGTCCTTCTGCGCACCTTTCCTGCTCAGCCTTCCCTCTTCTTCCTCCTCGTCCTGATCTTTTCTGCATCTTCCCTCCTTCCCACTGCTCCTCCTCTCTTACTCCTCTTCCTTCTCCCTCCCCCCCGCGTGGATCTGAGCTGGAGAAGCCTCCGGAAACTCTGGGAAGCCAGGTTCGTCTGGGGCGTTTGGGGGGCCTTTTGGGGCCTCCTTGGGACCTCTGGGGGCGGAGGGCTTGAAATGTTCGTAGGGCATCCTCTCTGGGCCCCTGCTTGGGGCCGTCCTGGGTCTCTCTTGGGCCGTCTTGGGGACCTCTTGGGCTAGCCAGGGGCCCTTCTGGGCTGTCTTGGAACCCTCTTGGGCTGTCTTGGGGCGATCCTGGCGGCCTCTCGGGCCGTCTTCGTTCCCCTGGAAGGGCAAGAGGCGAATCCTTTAAAAAAAAAAAAACGTTTTCCGACGGGGACGGGGCCATTTTTGCATCTTGGGGCCCTCTTGGGAGGACTCTTGCGGCCCTCTTGGGCTGTCTCGGGGGCTCCCAGGAGCCCTCTTGGAGCCATCGTCGGCGTCTTCAAGCTACATTTCGAAGCTCGTCCGCCCTCTTGATCTGTTTGGCGGCCTCTGGCGCCCTCGAGAGCCGTCCCAGGGGCGCCCCAGAGGCCTCGGTACCCCCATGCGCGCTCGAGGTCGCGGTCCCGAGCCCCCAGTCGTAGCTAGGCTTGATCGGCCAACTCATGTAATCTCATTTTGGTCGCTTCCTACGTCCAGGGGCTCCCTTGGAGGCCCTGCGCAAGCCTCGGAATCGTATAGAAGGGGAAATACGGAAACGCAGAAATCATTTATTGATTTCCTTTAAGTATTCAACGATTTGAGGCCCTGAAAGGCTTCCTGGGTTTTTTGGGGGAGGTGAGGGGGTCTGGATTGTGGTCTGTTGTGCAAGAGTAGACCGAGGGCCAAACTTGAAAACATGATGGACCCACGAACCCGGAAAGGGATAAAGACATGTGCAGCATGGTCACGTTTTCACGATACCCAACTGGGCGACATCTCACGAAACATCCCACGAGACACCCCGCGAAACATCCCACGAGACACCTCACGAAACATTCCACGAGACACCTCACGAAACATTCCACGAGACACCCCGTGAAACATTCCACGAGACACCCCACGAACAGGCAACCACTCAACCAGACACGCCACGAAACATTCCACGGGGGTGCGACTGGGTGTGGTCGTGCTGGGGTGTGGTCGTGCTGGGGTGTGGTCGTGCTGGGGAGTGGTCGTGCTGGGGTGTGGTCGTGCTGGGGGGTCGTGTGGGGGGTGGTCGTGCTGGGGGGGGTGGTCGTGCTGGGTGGGTGCGGTCGTGCTGGGGCGTGGTCGTGCTGGGGCGTGGTCGTGCTGGGGCTGGGGTGTGGTCGTGCTGTGGTGAGGTCGTGCTGGGGTGTGGTCGTGCTGGGGTGTGGTCTTGCTGGGGTAGGGTCGTGCTGGGGTCGGGTCGTGCTGGGGTGTGGTCGTGCTGGGGTATGGTCGTGCTGGGGTGGGGTCGTGCTGGGGTGGGGTCGTGCTGGGGTCTGGTCGTGCTGGGGTGTGGTCGTGCTGGGGTATGGTCGTGCTAGGGTGGGGTCGTGCATTTCGCTCGAGACATCCTGCCAAAATTCCAGGAAATCGTACAAAAACAAACGAATTAGTCGAGACATCATCGAAATTCCTTCGCGCGGGGCGCTTTTCCGCGTCGCGGTCGGCTCTGCAAAACAAGCGTTTCGCTCGAGACATCCTCGGCAAACTCTGCGGAGCAAGCGTTTCGCTCGAGACATCCTCAACACACGAAAAAGTGGCCCGCACCCTGTGATTTATCGATCGGGATTTCAAAAACAAGCGTTTCGCTCGAGACATCCTCAAATTTTAATCCGCCGGCCTCCTTCGACCTCGATATTTATCAGGGAAAAAATCCGCCGGCCTCCTTCAAGTTGGCACCGGGGGATTAGGTTTACAAACTAAAAGAGAACCCTGGGCCGGCGCCCTTTCCGGGAACATGATGGACCCACGAACCCGGAAAGGGATATAGACATGTGGAGCATGGACACGTTTTCATGATACCCAACTGGGCAACACCTCACGAAACATCCCACGAGACACCTTACGAAACAGCCCACGAGACACCTCACGAAACATTCCACGAGACACCTCACGAAACATTTCACGAGACACCCCGCGAAACATTCCACGAGACACCCCACGAAACATTCCACGACGACAGGCAACCACTCAACCAAGGCGGTGTGGTCGTGCTGGGGAGTGGTCGTGCTGGGGTGTGGTCGTGCTGGGGGGTGGTCGTGCTGGGGGGTGGTCGTGCTGGGGGTGGTCGTGCTGGGGGTGGTCGTGCTGGGGCGTGGTCGTGCTGGGGCGTGGTCGTGCTGGGGCGTGGTCGTGCTGGGGCGTGGTCGTGCTGGGGCGTGGTCGTGCTGGGGTGTGGTCGTGCTGTGGTAAGGTCGTGCTGGGGTGCGGTCGTGCTGGGGTGTGGTCTTGCTGGGGTGGGGTCGTGCTGGGGTGTGATCGTGCTGGGGTGGGGTCGAGCTGGGGTGTGGTCGTGCTGGGGTGTGGTCGTGCTAGGGTGGGGTCGT